ATATATATATATATATATATATATATATATATATATATATATATTTATATATACTATTATCCTTTAATTAAAGGTCATAGCATACGGTTAATAAAATCAAAGACGACCAAAATAGCATCGCTACCTTTCAGCTAAGTTAGTCCAAGCAAGCTAGTGCATTGTAAGTGTTCTGTGTGGATATGGCCCGCTTTCTTGTTTGCGCAGGTTGTAACACCCCACGCGCACGCCGGCGCGTTCGAAAAACAATTCCAGAAGCGGGTGAGAAATACCCGCCATTGTCGAGCGCGGATGTTTTGTTTAACAAAACCTCAGTCCGCTGCCATCTGCCGCGCGCGCGCACTCTCGCTCGTCTCTATTGATGTCTCGTCGCTGGCATCTTCCGACGCAGCTTTCTCTGAGCGGGCACGTGCCACTAAAGATAGAACCATCTCCGCGTCCCGCATGCTCGGCGAACAAATACGGCAGTTCTAAATGGAGCGTGGGATACTCTGGCTAATTGGCACGACATCTGAATAGCGAGCGCGCGTACAATGTCAAAGCACACAATATAAGCGAGTCCATTAATCGCCGTGAATGACCGAAGACATTCCGTCAGTAATCCCAGGTCCGAAGAAAAGAACAAGAAGATGTGCCCGCGCGCTCTGAGAATTACCTCGTTCCTGATTGGACGAGACGGATTGGGCGCACTTCTAGACGCGGTCAGCGTGCTGTGATTGGTTGAGACACGTAGCTACCTGTAAGGTAAACGAGCGAGTAGCTTCCACAGGGTTCCTGCTTACGGGAGTATAAAAGCTCTAGCGCGACAGAGGTGCCGTCATTTCTTATCATCCTCCTGCGTAAAGACACGGGTTGCTTGCACTGCCGCTGCGCACATAAGTTACAACATGCCAACTGAAATGGATAACTCTTGGGCCACCAGTGCCGAATCGCGAAAGGTGAGTGTCCTTTGCGTGAGAATACGTCACACACACGCGCACGCACCCACGCACGCACGCACGCACACACACACACACACACACACACACACACACACACACACACACACACACACACACACACACACACACGACACAACAC